GTAGCTGGGATTACAGGTGCCCGCCACAACACCTGGTTAATTTTTGTAGTTTTAGTAGAGACAGGGTTTTACCGTGTTGGCCAGGATGGTCTTGAGCTCCTGATCTCGTAATCTGCCTGCCTTGGGCTCCCAAAGTGCTGGGATTATAGGTGTGAGCCACCATGCCTTGCCGAAAGTGCCACTTTTAAAGTATCAGACCTCCTAACGACTCACTTACTATCATCAGAACAGCGAGGGGGAAGCCCGCCTCCATAACTCAATCACCTCCCACCAGGCCCCTCCTCCAACACATGGAGATAACAATTCAAGATGAGATTTGGCTGGGGACAGAGAGCCAAACCATATTAATAATGTGTTTTTAAATTAATAGTTATTATTTTAATTATTTTTTTTTTGAGATGGAGTCTCTCTCTGTCACCCAGGCTGGAGTGCAGCGGCACAATCTCGGCTCATTGCAACCTCTGCCGCCTGGGTTCAAGTGATTCTCCTGCCTTGGCCTCCTGAGTAGCTGGGATTACAGGTGCACAACACCATGCTTGGCTAATTGTTTTTTATATTTCTGTAGAAGCGGGGTTTCACCATGTTGGCCAGGCTGGTCTCAAACTCCTGAGCTCAAGTGATCCACCCACCTTGGCCTCCCAAAGTGCTGGGATTACAGATGTGAGCCACCGTGCCGGGCCTCAGTAGAAATAGTATCATTTCTTTTTTTATTTTTGTGAGACAGATTCTCACTTTGTCACCCAGGCTGGAGTGCAATGGTGTAATCAGGGCTCAATGTAACCTCCATTTCCCGGGCTCAAATGATTCTCATGTTTCAGCCTCCTGAATAGCTGGGATTACAGGTGCCCACCACCAAGCCCAAGTCATTTTTGTATTTTTAGTAGTGATAGGGTTTTGCCATGTTGACCAGGCTGGTCTTGAACTCCTGACCTCAAGTAATCCCCCCACCTCAGCATCCCACAGTGCTGGGATTAAAGGCGTGAGCCACTGTGTCTGGCCCAAAAGTCCCATTTCGGTATGTAATCAATATAAACAACTCACGGATAAGACAGTTCGCATTTTTCTGTACTACAACTACATCTTCAAAACGTGGCCGGGCACAGTGGCTCACACCTGTAATCCCAGCACTTTGGAAGTCCGAGGTGGGCAGATCATTTGAGGTCAGGAGTTTGAAACCAGCCTGGCCAACATAGTGAAATCCCATTTTTACTGAAAACACAAAAAAATTAGCTAGGTGTGGTGGCAGGCGCCTGTAATCCCAGCTACTTGGGAGGCCGAGGCAGAAGAATCGCTTGAACCCGGGAGGTGGAGGGTGCAGTGAGCCGAGATCGCGCCACTGCACTCTGGCCTTTGCATGAGACCCCGACTCCATCTCAAAAATGAAATAAATAAGTCTTCAAAATGCATTGTACATTTGACACTTAGAGTAATTCTCCATTCAGAGCTAAATTTTCAATGGTTAAACTGAAATGTAACCCTAGCAAAACAGTAAAGTTGTATTTAATAAAAATAAGAGGCTGGGCACAGTGGCTCATGCCTATAATCCCAGCACTTCGGGAGTCCGAGGCGGGGTGGATCATGAGGTCAGGAGATCGAGACCATACTGGCCAACATGGTGAAAATCCCGTCTTTACTAAAAATACAAAAATTAGCCAGGCGCGGTGGTGGGTGCCTATACTTCCACCTGCTCAGGAGGCTGAGGCAGGAGAATCACTTGAACCCAGGAGGCAGAGGTTGCAGTGAGCTGAGATCACGCCCCTGCACTCCAGCCTGGGTGACAGGGTGAGACTCCGTCTCAACAAATAAATAAATAAAATAAAATAAAAAAGAAAGGCAGACTTGTGGTTTTCTGCTTTCTTTGCTTTCCCCTGCTCCTGCTGGCTGGACTCCTCTGCCCTCATTAGGACTCCACAGTAAGGTCTGGGGAGAGGCTGAATGCTGTCTTTTCTCCCCAGGGCATGTTCAAGTACTCAGACCACCCCCTCAACCGGAGTTTAGGGCTGTCATTTGACTATAACGGGACTCTCGACATCCTCATCGTCCCTGGCCAGAGAGGCATTCTGCTTCTGTGGTTCGAGCACAGCCTGTTGTTTTCCCATAATGCAGGTGACTCCGGAGGCCCAGGGTGGGGCTGCCGCCCGGTGGCCTCCTCCAGAGGGGACGGGTACAGCCTCGATAAGGGGAGGGGAAGGAGCAACCCTTCGACCATTCGGTTAGCTTTTCTCTTCCATGTTCAGAGTGGACCACAAGCCCATGGTCATTCAGTGGATCTCTCTGCATCCTCCCTAGATTCCTGGCTTGCGAGATACTTAGGGCCAGGTATACAGTGATGACAAATTAGTGACAGTGACAAGAGTCTCCATCGAGATTTATTCTGCCAGCTTCAGGGTGTGTCCAGGAAAATCGCTAGTCAGACACCTCTGAGGCTACTTTTCCAGAGTTTCAGGAGGCATCGTATTTAACATTTCATTAATGTGGGGAAGGCGAATGGTTACATTCCAGGATACTTTAGTTCATGTACAGTAAATCTACTTTTTTTTTTTTTTTTTTTTGAGACAGAGTCTTGCCCTGCCACCCAGGCTAGAGTACAACAGCTCAATCTCAGCTCACTGCAACCTCCCACTGCCTGGTTCAAGCGATTCTCCTGCCTCAGCCTCCCGAGTAGCTGGGATTACAGGAATGCAACACCACGCCCAACTAATTTTTGTATTTTTAGTAGAGACAGGGTTTCACCATATTGGCCAGGCTGGTCTCGAACTTCTGACCTTGTAATCCACCCGTCTTCACCTCCCAAAGTGCCAGGATTACAGGCGTGAGCCACCTCACCCGGCATTTTTTTTTTTTTTTTTTTTTGAGACAGAGCCTCATACCGTCA